TTTTTTTAATATGAACTTTATGAAAAGCTAGGGCTCCATATTTATCTTTGCAGTAGGGCCCCAAAAACTCTTTGCACGGCCCTGACGGCTATATTATTACGTTACATACAATGCTGAGTTGCGAATTATCTTAATTATATTTCGTAAAATAGTTCACTTATCGAATTAATAAAAACGTATGACAGATAATTATTAAATAAGTGGAATTTGTATAGGATGTATACGAATTTTCTTAAATTCAGGCGAGTCTTCAACATTTAATTCTCTAATAATTTATTTTTTCAAATATAATGTCTTGAGAGTTAGACATTTAAATATTATTATTTTCTCGCTATTTTTGTCTAAATAACTACGATTAGAGTGAAGAGAAGCTCCATCGTTTTCTTATTTATTTATCGTTATCTGTTATAGAATTTTATATATACATTGCAGATATGTCAAACATATAAAGCGACAATAAAAATGTATGGACACTCTAATAAAGATTTAATTTTTTTTTAAACCACAACTATCTATATTATAATTAATATATCGAATGCTTAACATATATCGAATGCTTAAAAATAAGTATTGTACATAAGTTATCTATTTTAATAATAAAAATAATACCTACAAATATACAGAAAGTATATAAGTTACATTTTAAAAATGAGGTATTGCTACCATTGTAGATCTTTCATAGCCATTTCATAGGTAGGACTGTGATCAGAATAGAATTGCGAGTACCAATGGCGGTATGCTTGGATAGCTCGATCCTCGCGCACCAGAATAGGTTGTCGCTCATATCTCTTGTAGTTCCAGATTTTAATGTCGCGCTCAAACATCAAGCACTCGCCCAAAAAAATGAGATTCGCGTATGGTGCCAGCAAAGGTGGTGAGAAGATCTGATGAGTCACCCGTTGCAGCAACGGCTCAATCGGCGTTACTGTCTGCAGAATATACATGGGTCCGATCGACGTGTTGATCATTAGCTCGACATAGCTAGGCCCAATTTGCTCGGCGAGCACATCAATCTCCATTAAGCTAAAACGTTCCAGAAGGATCAACTTGTGGCATATGTGCAGACCGGCCTTGTGCTTCTCTTTACTGCCGAAATTATTCTGTGCGACTGCAAAGTGACGATTCCGGTTGTCATTCTCGATAGGGTGAATCGACACGTTCAAATTAGCACGCCTCTTTGCTGCTTCGTCTTCGTCCGTCTGATTATAAGGGGAACAATGCGGTCGCCATCCTGTGTAGGTGATCCACAAGTGCCGAGCTAACCAGGAAAAGTTATCAGGGAGAAACATAACTGGACCGTGCACTGAGGTAAGATGCGCAGGATCAGCTCCATTCTCAGCTATATCCTAATGTACAAGTCCATAAAGGAGAATTGTTAAGATTGTTAAGATTTTTCGATCAAAATGAAAAAAATTTCGAAATATACAAATTATATATCATATTAAATGATTATCCAGTAAACAAGAATAAATCGAAATGGATAGAAATGAATTTATTTCGACATTTCCGAATTCGCGCTCCTGATTTTTCGAATTTATTTGAATACACGAATACACCTGATTTCTACATGATGAATAGCTCTATTCGTATTTTAATTCATTTCAATAAAAAAATAATATAATACAAACATAAATCATCCAAATTCAACATGCACATTTTATATTTTATAAATTGCACATTTTATATTTTTATCTATTTGAATGATCCAAAAGTACTTATGTCATAAATACGTTAGAACTATGAATACATCCCAGTTCAAACTTATAATAATGAATAAGAACAATCTCGTTTGAATTTACTTCAATTAAAAAAAATTTCAACATAGCTAATTTGTAAGCTATGAATACATCACAGTTGCAAATTATGAAAATACGCACTTTTGTTTAAGAATGTATCGATCGATCACTTATGGGGTAGGTGGTGAGAAAGGTATGTTATTGTTCTACATTGATAAAACCAAATATATAAAAATCTTTTAATAATAAAAAAGGCTAATTTATTAAAATTAAATGATTGATTGTTAATTTTTAATTATGAATCATATTAATATTGTATTATTAGAAAATGCAAGTAATTTAATGTTTTATATTTAATGATTATCAATAATTTGGCAACGTTGTATTCTGAAAATGAGGTTGGTATTCCTACTCGAGTTGCACACTATAGTAATTGACAGTTGAGATTAAAATATTATTTTTATATACGTGTTTTACAGTTAAAAATATAACAAATTATAAACAAGCACATATATATTCATCATACAGGATGAAGGAAGCCATCTAATGTCGGAAGTCAACAGCATTGCCAAATTTTCCGCGTATATTTCTTTAGATGCTCAAGTAGACATGCTTTTATCAGCTTTTTGCTTATATGCATAAATTACATGGTGAATAGAATTAAAATTCTTGCAAGGATGTATAAAAAAAGATTTGTTCTAACTATTTATATGTTTTTTATATGGATCGAAGCATTTTAAAAGTAAGTAATTATATAATATATCAATCATTCAATGCATATTGAATTATGCATAAAACTTTAATTTTAGCTCTTTCTTTTTTAAAAATTACATGGTCAATTGATTTGAAATTTTAATACAGTATTAGTTTTGTTTTAAATAATATTCTATGTAATTTCTAGATAGATCGAAGCATTTTGATTTTTTGTACCTCCTTAAACAAAAAAGTTATGATGGAAATAGGAAGGAATATAAGTCCTGAATTTATATCCGAGTACTGAATAAGAATATTCTTGTTTCGAAATGAATATAAAAATAAATGGTTCTATTTAGAAAAAAAAAATTATAAATATTCATGAACAGAAACAAATTTATGCCCTCAGATATTAATTCATTTCAATCCAGCTCTAAAGCGCAAACTCCGATAAATTAAAATGAATTACAATTTTTAATTCGTTTCAATCCATTTTCATTTACTGAGTACGGATTCGAATGATATATCACTTATCTTGGAAAAACATCAGAATCATGGAAAAGTTCGTCTTTGAAATTTTTAGATTTAGATTTGAAAAAAATAATTATGTAGAATTTTTCAATAAGTACTTCATATTTTTTAGAATACATGATAGTAACGCATACTGGGCATCTATCATGGAGTAAGTCAGAAGAGATTTCGATCGGAATTATTCAATTATTTCTTAGATTTCTATTGTGCTTTCTAAAGAAAACGGAATAATTCTGATCGGAATTCATTCCTCCAGGAATCATGGAATATGAAAAATAAGAAAAGCAATGATGACGCTTTTCAAGTTTTATTAGGACTGCGTTTCACTTGATGCTCATAATGCTCACAATCATCCTCCTCTCATCATCATCATTTGTCCTTGCTTTTTAATAGACAAGAATGAAATGATTCTACAAATGTTAAAAGTATCTAGTAATAACGCCTGCGTGTTCTATTTCCTACTACGCCTTCGACGTATATATAGAGATTATAACAAAATAGTATCACAGTATGATAGTTATACCTTATTACGTAATAAAATTATATCAAATTGTTTTATGGAATTTCTCAAAAAGAAGAATTCGCATATTTAAATGATATATCTTTATTGCTCAATTCTTGTTTTACTTATTTTTTACTTTTTCAAGAAATGTGATAGCATATATAATAAATAGCAAATATAATAGATTTGATTTTTTATTTGATGATTTCTCTCATGTTTCCGACATTCTCCCAAGATAAGTGAAATATCAAATAACTATTCAATATGATATATAATTTGTACATCTCGGAACTTTTTCATTTTGGCCGAAAAACAATCTTAACTTAATATCTCCCTTTATTGCCCATTTGAAAGAGATTCTCAAGGTACGAAGAATAAAAAAAAAAGAATAATTTTCTCTCTAATACTTTTTTCTTCAGTTCATTACTCTGGAAAATGATTGTCGATAGTACTTTCAAGCAAACACTAATAATTAGTTTAATTCATTTATTTTGTTGTAAACTTAATTCTTTTTTTCTTTTCTAGTCATTTCAAAATAATTTTTATATAATAAAACGTATCTTCTCACATTAGAGAATCGAATGCGACAAACCTGTATGTGGCAATTAATGAGATACTCATTGCGACCTTGGTAGCGCCAGGAGCCATTGGAAATGCATGTATGTGGTTGGGGTTGCCATTCTGGCTCAACTGATTCAGAATGATACCAGACGAAGATAATGTGATTCACTTCGCAGCTCTTCCAAACTTTCACACGGGCAACATGTGGTACTGTGAAAAAAATTTATATATATAACTAGGATAGATGCATCGGGAAATAATTTCTAGTATACATTATATATATATATATATAT